GTATAATCTAAACCCTCAAATCTAAATCTCAAGATAACCTTCACGACTTCCTCCTTTATTTTACACAGGTGGGTACTGGAGCAGGCGACTTACGAGTACTGCTAACAGGCTTACAGCTTACCCTTCCCATACCACATAGTAACACTTACCCTACTACCAGTGTGTTTGGTAGTAGGGTAAGTCTGCCAACCTTACGTACCTTACAACCTCCTACCTTACTAGGTAGCGGGTTGTGGGGGACAACTACCGACCATTCCCAGGAATGCAGCCGACAACCGCTGTCAATTTTCTTAGGTGCCTATTTACTGCTAGGTGAAAATAGGCATTACGTGAAAGGAAACTGACAGAACCCACGATCCGCGACAGTGAGCCGATGACTTGGCCCACTGCACTACGAGGCTCCCAGGTAAAGACTAGAGAAGTCCCCATTTAGCCTTCAAGTAAGAACACGGAATGATTTATTTAAACGTGGCGGCAGTTGAAGCCAACTTAATCGACAATTCTAAAAGAAAGTAGATATTACAGAAGCTCAGGTCGGGAGTCATTACGTTAGACGACCGGCAGCAGGAAAGGCGGGGTCCAAGAGCACCTGCTCGATAACGGGGTATCAGAGATAGTTATGTATGATATCAATCAGCAATTTATCGAGAGATGCTTCCTAGTGTTAATGACTATAGTAGAAAACTGGCGAAGAGGACAATAGGGGGATGACTGCATAAAACTGCAAGCAACGTGGACACGCTTGGACCAGCTGCAAGAATTGTTCTACCAGTGGCTGCTAAAGTTCAATAGCAGCAACTGCAAGGTCATGAAGATAACTACCGGATACAGCAGGCCAGTGGAAACCTAGCACATGGCTGGGATACCGCTCTAGGGGCCAGAAATGACGAAGGGGAGATGTGACAATTACTTCCCAACTCCCACCAGACCGGACACGCGTGCGCCATGTGCACTACTCACACACTTTGTAACATCCGTCAGGAACCTAAACAAGGATTGAGCACACTGAACAAGACATGTGTAAGCCCAGTTCTGGAGTAAACAGTACCCGCATGGAATCCTTGCCTATTAAGCCCAGTTCTGGAGTACGCAGCACCAGCGTGGAGCCCTTGTCTTGTTATGCCCATCAAGTTAGTCATCCCGGAGATATTATCCACGAGGACAAACACGGGAGCTCAACACCACAGAAATTAGAGGACTTGTTGGAACTGCGAATAACACTGACGTGGGAGGAGTCTGAACGAGGGCACACTGACGTGGGAGGTGTCTGAACGAGGACACTGACGTGGGAGGAGCCTGAACGAGGACACACTGACGTGGGAGGAGCCTGAACAAGAAGATACAGTGTTACATGGGAGAAGGACCGTCCCCGTGGATAATGGGACATACCAGAACCAAAATATCACCAGTGTGACCAAAACAAAACAAAAAAAGTCTTGTTCTCCTCCTGTGAGCCCGAGCTGGAAACTATGAACAAAAGTGAGCCAATGCGACAATGATCGTTGTATGAAACTAGTGGAAGCAGACTCCACACCCGGGTTCACAAGCAGGTATGAGCTGAACGGTATATATACGCCGTCATTATACTAACTTCGAACCACAATACGTACAAGGCCGTACACGATACTCGTGTGATCCTTATGACTTGGGCGTCCTTAAACCCTTACCGCAGACGCATACCTTCCGCGAGCGCTCGGAAACAACGCTCGCAAGGCAAAGGCAAGGCACAGGCAAAGACTGCTCCTTACCCCCCACCCCCTCCCCAGTAACCGCTGTGTAAAAAGTGCTCGTCTGGCCCTTGTGATCCATATCTGTACCGGCAAAGGTACAATTGGAAAGGTAACCAATACCGGCATACCGCGTTGCTCCCTTCTTGTACATCTGGCCAGACTCTTGCAGGGCAAGACTGGCTTCAAGGTCTACCGGTGACGCACGCGCAATAAAAGGGAATAGAGGCAGGGAAGAGGGGGGGGGGGTGAGAGCGTGTGAAGGGGGGGGAGGGGAACATGCAAAGGTTTATATACAAAAATGTTCACGGCCAACGGTATACAACGGTCGTAATGTATACATGTATACCCCATGACAAAGATTCACACAGACGCAGAAGAACAGGATTCGCTAAGACGAGTTTACCGCGTCGAGTGGACTAAGGGAGCAGGAATGGTCAGACTTAAGAGGCCTGACTCCTGAGCCATCTGTACGACAATGAGTAGGTCACCCCACCCACCCACTCACCCACCTACCCACCCACCCACCTTGCCCCCTCCTTGCCCCCACCTCACCTGGCTGACCTCGGGAGACCCGCCACTGAGGTACTCTTGGTACTCCACGCTGGTACAGGTTGGTACAGGTCGCTACATGTCTTCACGCAGCACCACCCCCTCACTGTATCCCAAACCTACCCATCACTTGACCCCATACAGAGAAAATGGCGAATAGATCTTGTGCTGACCTCAGGCTTGTCTACCTCTGCAGTGTATTTGCAGCACTAGACCAGTTTACTGACCAGCCACCTAATATACTGTAGCCACACTAAGTAAACTCTTGGTGTGCATACACACATACAACCAAGATATGTGTATTACACCATATTCATAAAGAACATGTAAAGTGCCAGTAGCACGAGTGCTCAGTGTAGCGTGGAGAAAAACTTGGCAACGAGAGATACAGTGTATACCAGAAGCACTTAACTCACCAGATATAGCTCCCTTGCACAAGGGAGGGAGCAAAGAATTGACAAAAAATCTACACCAGTCGCACTAACATCACACACAACCAAAGTTTTTTGAAAGAGTGATCAGGAGTTAGATCTCCAGTTTTATAGAAAAACTGACCTTCACAACCCAGGTAAACATGACTGCGTCACGCCGAGACGTGAAAACATCATCCCAAGACGGGATGATTCACAGTGCCATTCACAGTTACTCGATCACTGTGACAACATCACTGAAGCATTAGATGAATACAAAATGAGGATGCGGTATACACGGACTTTGTAAAGGCATTTAATAACCGCGATTATGGAGTGAGAGCCCATAAGCCGAGATCAATAGGAATAACAGGTAAAATAGGGCGATGGGTATTTAATTTCCTGTCAAACAGAATGAAAAGAGTAACAGTGAAACAAACAAAAAAACAAGCACAGTGAATAGTTTTATACCTCAAGAGCACAGTCCTTGCATCACTGCTTTTTCTTATTCTCATATCAGATATAGACAAAAACACTAGTCACAGCTTCGTGTCATCCTTTGCTGACGACACAAAAATCAGCATGAAAATTACTTCTGTAGAAGACATTGCAAAACTACACGCTGATATTAATAAAGTTTTCGATTGGGACACGGAAAATAAAATGATGTCTAACAAAAATAACATGATGTCTAACAAAAATAACATGATGTCTAACAAAAATAACATGATGTCTAACAAAAATAACATGATGTCTAACAAAAATAACATGATGTCTAACAAAAATAACATGATGTCTAACAAAAATAACATGATGTCTAACGGAAAATAACATGATGTCTAAAAACGATACATTCCAGATACTCTGATATATAGAAAACATTACGAAATTAAACGAAATATATAGTACACGACACAACCAGACCTCATAGTAGGAAAACAACATGTAAGGGATGTAGGAAAAGTTATGTCTGATGACTTAACCATCGTCACCCAGAAAAATGATAGAATGGATTTTGAGAGCCTTCAGATCAAGTACATCCCATCACAATGGTTGTACTGTCCCCACTTGAGTATACTTCATACTCACTTTCCCTTTCAGAGCAGGAGAAATTTCTGAAGTAGAGGGAATACCGAGAACATATACGGCACACAGAGACGCGATAAAGCACCTAAATTACCGGGACCATCTTAAAGCTAACAAAATGTACTCTCTGGAAAGGAAATGAGAGAGATATCACATAATATATAGATGGGAACTACTGGAGGACCAGGTTCCAAATTTGTCCAGTAAAATAACAACATATTAGAGCGAACTGTATGGCAGGAGCTGCACAATAGAGCCAGTGAAAAGAAGAGGTGAAATAGGCACTATCAGAGAACACTGTATGAACATCAGAGGTATGAACATCAGAGGTCCACGTTGTTCAATATCCTTCCAGCAAGTATAGGATATATTACAGGAAACTAAAGTAGACTTCTTCAAGCAAAGATCAGCCAGTGTCTTGCAACAAGTGCCGAACCAACTTGATTGCAGTGGATTATGTGCTTTCGGGCCTCTCCAAGCAACAGTCTGTTGGATCAAGCAGTCACAAGTCGAGCCTCGACCCAGGCCGGGCTTGGGGAGTACACAAAAACTCCCAGGTATGATCTTGTGTTTATATTTTAACCATCCTATTTGTACATTACCACGTTAAAACCTTAAATAGATAATCTATCGGTTATTCTTCTCATATTTTAACGATAATTTAAATTTATTCTATAATTCGAAGCCTAAACTGCACTGAATAATCCGAATGGAGTCTGACACGGCCACAATAACAGAGGCGGACCGCAAAGAGCCAGAGTATTAGATAGCATTAACGGTAAATCAACAGTATTAGATAGTATTAACGGCAAATCAACAGTATTAGATAGCATTAACGGTAAATCAACATCATTAATCAGCATTAACGGTCTAATCAACAGCATTAACGGTCAACCAACAGCGCTAACGGTAGCTGAAAGTGAATCAATGTTCTTAATGTTAAAATGGTGACAGCGAAACTATTTTTCCCCTAACACGACCTATGACACGTCACGACGCTCAAACGACCTCGTGTTGTGACGAAACATTTTTATCAAACAAAAAAGGTAGAGTCACTTGGCAATGCCTCCGGGTCCGTGTGCTGGGGGCCGTCGACGACGCTGCCCAATCACTTCTAAAATCTCCCTAGGCCTAATCAGACACCAAAATTCTAATACGTAATAATAAAACATTGATGAATCCACTCCAGGGTTACCCACTGCTGCGGGAACGGCTTAGGACTTACCCGAAGTCCCTGCAGGAAGGCCTCGGAGCCGGCTTCGACGTGGGAGATGAAGAAGCCGGTGCCGTGCTCCCGGCCGCCTCGCAGGCTGAAGCCGTAGGATTCGCCGTTCCTCCGGACGAGTCTCACCACCTTGACCCTCCCGCCTCCTGCACTGGAGGAGGAGGAGGAGGAGGAGGCGGCGTAGGGAGTGTGGGAGGCCAGGGTGTGGTGGCCTGGAGGGGCCTCCAGGGAGCCCTCCGCCCTCAACATGCCCCCATCGCGCATGCTCGCCACTCGCATACTTCTCCTTCACAACATCTGCAACGAAACAAGTGCATTAATACCTTCCGTCTTCGTGAGTCATCATGTATGACGCCAAGTATAGTGAATGACACCAAGTGTATGACGCCAGGTATCTTGTATGACAGCAGGCGTAGTGTACATAATTACACATAAATATAAGTACATGTATAAATACAAGTACACAATACAGGTGAATATAAAGAATAGTGCGAGTCTTCCCCCCCCCCCACCCTGACGGTGTGAGGGCGCCACCGTCGGGTCCTGGCGGGAACTGACACCAACAAGACAGGGTGAAGGCGTTCTGACATATCCTGATATTTAAAACACTTCCTCAATAAATAATAACGAACATTTCGGGTAATTTCCTACGGAGTGTTGTTAAGAGTTCTCCGACACCGAGACCCGTAGCTACGGCTGTAGCGCCGACTGGATCATCAGGACGTAGATGTCCACACACCGCACACTCGATACAACTCTTGACTTCAAAAGAAACTGAAAAGCCAAACAAGACTGTTGTAGCGTTCACCACACATGTGCAGCTCGCTGCTACACACACCTGACTGCTGGCCTGGAGCTGACCTTATCTGGCTCCTTGGTTCCAAAATGTTGAGTAATTTAAGGTAAGTTATAGAGCTTCTTCTGGATAGGAGACTTATATAATTATATTACCAGGTAATTGTTACTGGCAGAGTGAAATAAACTCACCCTCAACTAAGAGGGTCGACGGACCTAAGCTCACCGCACTACCAGGGCCGAGGGACCTAAACTCACTCCGACCACCAGGACCGAGGGCCCCAAAGTGAACACCAGCGCCACAGTATGGCACGCCAGAGCTGGCAAGCAGCCAGTTGTGAGCTCGCTGCCCGCCTGTTGGTCATCCCGCCCCCGGGGGTTGTGAAGGCGGGCGGAGGACCCCAGCCGCCGCGTCACGGGCATGGAGGAGCACCAGCAGTTGCTGGCGTAGTCGAGGGCCAGAGTGCAGGGCAAAGACAGTGGAGTGATTAGTTAACACTATATTTTCCTCGCCTACCCTACCCCCCACTTCCACTACGCAAAAATAGAATTAGATTATATATTTATTGGAGACACAAACTGCTGTGCAGATAAAAAAATATATATTAAACCCACTATTTCGTTCTCTACACCGTTCTCTACAAAAGATGCACCGAGGTGTCTATTCGGCTAGCCTTATTGATGTCCTAGTATCGAAGGACATTGGGGAATTAAATTAATTATATTTTTATTTGAGTAAAGACAATAGTGGTCGTGTGACAATGTTAACACCTGACCCCATTTTCTGTTTCCCCAGTGGAAGGCTGTGGTCTCACAGCCGTACACAGGCAGATGTACTTTCTTTTGTACTGTTATGATTGTCTTTCCTCAATAGGTGATGTGAGGGGGACGTTGGAGTGCAGAAGGCTACTCCTGGTGTAGCCCTTGCTGGGTACACCAGGAGTAGCCAGCAAGGGCAGTACTCCTGAACGCAAGGGTTGTTTCGGTCGGAACAAGAAGGCCCTGGTCGTTGAAGACTGTGGAGTGTCTGTGGTAGCCAGCGAGCTATTGGTGTTGGGACGACGTATCCCGGGGTGGCCCAGTTGTGTTCGTAGATGGAGTTGACGTCCGTCTGTCCTCTAGGTTAAGGCTTGCTAGCGGTTAAGCCTTGACAGGAAGCCAGCCAGCGAGTTGCTGGAGTTAGCCTTTAGACACTCTGATAATAGTGTGGAGGACTGACAAGTGAATTGTTGGAAAAGTGGACTCACCGACGTGAGTACCTCAGAAGACATGCACACTGGGGAGGAGACGTGAGTGTAGTGCTAGGAGGACTCGTTGTGAGTATAGTGCTAGGAGGACTCGCCGTGAGTATAGTGCTAGGAGGACTCGCCGTGAGTATAGTGCTAGGAGGATTCGCCATGAGTATAGTGCTAGGAGGACTCGCCGTGAGTATAGTGCTAGGAGGACTCGCCGTGAGTATAGTGCTAGGAGGACTCGCCGTGAGTATAGTGCTAGGAGGACTCGCCGTGAGTATAGTCCTAGGAGGACTCGCCGTGAGTATAGTGCTAGGAGGACTCGCCGTGAGTATAGTGCTAGGAGGATTCGCCATGAGTATAGTGCTAGGAGGACTCGCCGTGAGTATAGTGCTAGGAGGACTCGCCGTGATCGCAGAGGTACGGTGTTATCTGTGGTGTATCGATATTGGTATATATTTCTTGTAAATAATTTCCTGTACATAGAAGTTAAGTACATTTGGTGATGGCTTTGTCTAGTGTTGTTTAACCCGCCTTTCCCCGTCTAGTTGTCTATTACTGCTCAGGTCATGATAACTTCACCCTGACTGTGGGTAAGATCTGTGAAGAGGCGCTGAGTTACTGGCAGCGAGTCCGTAACAGGTCGTAATTTAATTAAGAATTTCTTACAACAATAACTCCACTGAGCCTTTTTAGTGACGTAGTTTCAGTTTATCTATATCGTCCCTCTTACGCCAGGTGCTAGTCATGTCGGAAATATTTAAACTTTCTAAAAACTTTCATTTTAACAACGGTTTTAACAACATTTTTATCTCTGGATTATACGAGGTACTCTTACAACAGGTGTAAAGAAAGGGAAATTAGCATACTAACACGGGTGTGAGTACTCGCCTACTTGTGTCAGTGTGGGTAGAGCTTCGGCTCTTTGGACTCGTCGTTCGTATCGTGTATCATGTCAGCATTTGAAACTGTGTATGGAGTCAGCCTCCACCACATCACTTTCTAATGCATTCCATTTGTTAACTACCCTGACACTAAAAACGTTCTTTCTAATGTCTCTCTGCCTCGTTTGTGTTTGCGTGTATGTGTGGAGGCTAAGGTAGCTTTATTTTGCGGAAGTTGGTGGGCGGAATGTATTTGGGAAATTCTGACATATATTTCAGCAGAAGCGGACAACGGATGCAGACAGCAGATGCGGACAGATGTAACAGCTCCAACCATGTAAGCGTTGGTGCTCCTCTACATGCTCTGATCTCAGTCTGTGACGTCTAGTTTGATAAAGATGTCAACGGGTTGGTCTTGAATGCATCATACTATACACGAGTGTGTGGGGGATGTATAACATCATACTATACACGAGTGTGTGGGGGATGATTATGTTAGATGATCTAACTCTTAGTGAGACTAAAATTCTCGCCAGGTAAATATTTTTAGATTGACTTCATTCCCTCCTGCTCAAAACTAATTTAAAAAATAAGCTTTCCTGGAGAGAGTGGTGCAGTGTCCACCCTGGTGACCGGCTGAGGCCCGCAGGGTTACCTCAGCCGGTCAGAGGCCAGTCATTTTTCTTTATGACAGGAGCAGTTGTCATGAAGGTTTCCACCAGCTGATGACAGGTTGTGGTGCTGGGTGGCGCGTCACTGTTGATGATTAGACATGATTTATTTGTTGCTTTTAGACGTTAGACTTGAGGTGAGCATTTGTCTGGGAGGCTGTGTCGGTGGCCTCCGTTGGTCGCTTCTGCTCTTGTTGTTGTTGTTGCAAGGTTTAAGTATTGTATGGTTGGTAGCCACGATAATTTAAAATGTGTGAATTGTTTAAATATTGATCTAATATCTTGGTGGGCTACACATATTCTGTGTTGACTGCTTTTTAGTGTACATGTAAAGTGTGCAATCCTGCCCCGAATATGTGCTGGGTGTTGAGGCTCACTATGAGGGTGTCAAGTCCTTGTTTCAAACTGACACTGTCGCTGCCAGGTTTGACACTGTCGCTGCTAGGTCTGACACTGTCGCTGCTAGGTCTGACACTGTCGCTGCTAGGTCTGACACTGTCGCTGCTAGGTCTGACACTGTCGCTGCTAGGTCTGACACTGTCGCTGCTAGGTCTGACACTGTCGCTGCCAGGTTTGACACTGTCGAGATAATACTTCATTGTCTCTGGAACTTGGCAGTGGACGTCATTTTCATCTACGGGTAGTGAGTGTATGTATAGATGTGCGCTGTTTCTTTTTTTTGTGCCAGGTGTGTGTTTCGAATTCCCTAGCTATGTTGGCACAGATGTGTCCATAACATGGGTCTGACACTGTGGTATAGCTGCCCAGGTCTGTAACCCCAGATTTTACCGCAACCAACAAGGGCTGCACAACTACCCCCACTAAACCTGTTTACAATGATGAATTGAGAAGAGTGAGGAGAAGTGGAGAAGACAAATCTTGTGGAATGTGTTTGTAGTGAGAGAGAGATATGGCATCGTCACAGTGTGCAAGAGAGCCGTGACTTGCAGCACGCAATATGGGTTTGCGGTGTGGGGGAAGATCGAACACTGGTCCTCCCGGGAATGTCTAGAGACGTCCAGCTGTCGCCCTAAGTGCCAGTAAATGTGGCACAACCAGTTACCTTGTGTGGCACTGCCCACAAGTTCCCCTGGCTGCTGTATGCTGCGGGAGTAACCTGGGCGATGGTACCACAACCCCCTGACCCTACGTCCACTCAGGCCGGGCAGCGAATGTCCGGAGTGGCGAAGCGCTTCATACTGAACAATACGGCTCCCACAGGCCGTGTGTACAGATCTCAATGTTTCTTGGTTCAGATTTCCGAGGACTGTTATTATATTTGCAAACATGGCATTTGCTGAATATCTGATTGTATTTCTATTAATAGGTTGCAGGTGGGAGATGAAGTTATAGGTGGGACAGGAAGTGGGACGTGCCAGGGAAGGTAAAAGGTGGTGTGGGAGGGGGAGACAGGTACGAGGTAAAATTCGTGAGATGGAAGGGGGCTATAAGGAACAATGTGTTTTTGTTTGAGGAGGGAATAGAGGAGAAAATAGAATCAATATAGGAAGAGGTCAAACCCTCAAATATACCAGCGATACAAAAATGCGAGAAACAACTACACGTCAGTGAGGTAAAGGATAAGGGATAATATTCAGAGGTTGAAAATGGGAAACAGATTCATGGAAAATGAAAAGGAAATGTGTGTGAAACATTAAACGAAAAGGAATGATACAGGTAAAAGAATAAGTTTAGAACTTGAGAATATGGAAGTA